AGTGGCCCAGAGACCCCAATCAGCTACCGGTTTAGGGGGTACGGTTTCTAGGACCTGGAGTATGCCATTGTTTCCTTGTTTATGGTTGGGGCTCCCTTATAATCCCCCTAAAACCAAAAAGGGCACCCTTTTCATTCCTAGGTTACTCCTGGGTCTAGATGTGTAACCCAGCCCCTAAGGGTCCAAGTAGTCCTTATATATGGTTTTAGGTACCCAAAAAGGCCCCAAAGTCTGTAGATAATGGGTACTTGGACCCTTGTGGAGCATTCCTAAACCGCTTGTTCCGTAAGCCCTAAACCCAACATTCCCAGGAATCTCAACACTCTCTGGGCAAACCTGGTCGCGCGAACCCCATTGGCTGAAAGCATTGCATCCGTTGCTTTAGATTGGCGGGTCAAGGAGGTTAACACGCTTTTGCCGATCACCAGACTGCAGAGGGAAAGGTTACCTTTTACCTTTCTTGTCTTAATTATAGAGCTGTGGTGGTGCTACGGATTCTCGGCGTTCTGCGTCCAGGGTGAAGTGAGGGGTAAACCAGCCGTAGTGTCCATACATACCCTAAACCCTAAACCCTAAACCCTGTGTCATTGTGGAACCAGGTTTGAGGTTCCAAAGTACCACAGGGATGACTGTTTTCATCAAGGCTAAAGCCTAAGTCGTACCTCAAGCAAAGATCAGGGTGCTCTTCTATGCTGGACTCTAACTACTATACTACACTTCACCTGAATATCATTGCTTTCTGTCAATAGGTCTCCCTCAGTCTGCGTCACTGGTCCTCTGCTGACCTCCGTACAGAGCAAAGTTTACATGCCGTGTTTCCGCAGCTCGCATTTGATTCAAGCTGCCATCAGCGATCCGTTTGTCTGTCGACTTGCACTTATCATCCCGGTCATGGCGATGCGCCAGATCCTCCTGGTGATGTGGGCTCTTGTGATGTGCCTGTACCAGGCTGAGTCCAAGCGCAGCCCAGTCAGCCCTCACGTGCCTAGCAACCATCCCGAGCCCGAGCGTGACGATGATGACAAGCCCGACTCGGAAGCCAGCCTCCTCGAGGAAGAGAAGAAGTGCACCCAACATCTTGATTGCCCACTGTGCTATCTTTGCTCCGAGAACCAGAACTTCAAGACCGGACACTGCTACTTGAGCTTCAAAGATGTGCCAATGTGCGCAAAACTTTTCAAAGATTGACGTGCCTTCCCTCGTGAGAAGACGGGGCAGCGCCCTGCCCACCACACCGCACCAGGATTCTGAGTCATTGCGCAGAAAAAAAGATTGTTCAAGGCAGTTCCCAGAGTTCAACCCTAAACCGTAAACGCCCTAAACCCCCCAAAAACCCTAAACCCTAAACCCTAAAAAAAAGCCCTA